TCATCTTTTTTTTTTTCTTTCTGTCATCTATACTTCGAGAGAAAAGTGTTCTACGATTCCGAAATTTGTTTTCTAACTTTTGTATTGTAATTTTTTTTGTTTTTTTTTTCTTCTTGAATTTCGTTTTCGTTTAGTTTCGTTTTGCAAGAAAATAGTGAACAATTACGTTTCTTACAAATCGCGCGCGCTTGATTAACGATAGGTACTTATAAGTTCAGACAAAATTATAATATTTCGTCGGTTTTATCAAAATTGTTTTTTTTTTTATCCAATATAATAATATAACGCGTCGGTAGGTCGATCAAGTTAATCGCGTCAAAATTTCATAAAATCTGGGTATTTATTATTATTATTATTATTATTACTATTTTTTTTGGTTTTTTGTTTTTCTTTTTTCTTGTGGATTTCTTTCTTACGAATCGTTGAAGGCGCATTTCTTGTTTCTTATCTTTTCTTTTCTTTTTTTTTGGTTTTTTATACAGAATATCCTATAGGAATTAATCCTGCTCGATTGTTATAAATGATTCTCTTAAATTGTCCATTGAACACGATCGAAAAGAAAATACAAATTGAATTTATTTCGGTAATTATCATTTTTTTTTTCTCCCTTTCATCATATCCCCGATTATTTTAAATAATCGAGTAAGCTTATTTCAAATACGATGTATTGTATTAAAAAAAGAAAAGAAAAAAAAACAGAAAAAAAGAAAGAGAAAAAAAACCAACACACTAGTTATATCGAATACAGATACCTAATTACAATACCTCTTGCACGCGCAACGAACCGTGCTTTATCCAAAAAAGTAAGAAAAGTGGAAATATCGTAAAAGCTATGACAGACTAGGATCTAGGCTATACACGGTTTCATTATTATTTGTGTTTGTCTGTTTATGTATATTATGTATGTGTACGTCGAGTGTGTGTACGTGTGTGTGTTTGTGTATTGTATTCTTTTCTTGCATTTTTAGTTCGAAATTTAGTTATAGGTGTATCCTTTGAAACGCCTTCTATTTCTTTTTTTTTTCTTTTTCTTTTTGTTATCTTTTTTTTTTTCTTTCATATAATATTATTGTGATATCTCTCGATAAAGGTTGTCTTGAAAAAATGTGTCTTCCTTTTTTTTTTTTTCTTTTCCGAATAAAAAGGCGCTTTTATATGAAGAGTAAAATGTACTTATTAGTTTTTCGCACTCGTATATGGTTCTCACATGCATTTATCGGTGTTGGTTGATTTTCAAATGGCAAAACGCGTTAATTACGTTTATCATAATTACACGTCGTATAAGGTATGTTTATAATGTGCTTGCATGTACATATACAGGATGTCCGAGCGTTTTTTTTTTTCGATACAAACGATGTCGGCATATTTTATGCAGGAAAATAAGAAAAACCGAAAAAAGAAGAGAAAAAAAAAAAAAAAAACAAGTAGAACATTTAAAGCTTTATTCGAAAGTTAGGAAACAAATTGTAAATCGTTTAATTTATTTCGTTTCAATTACGCATGCAATTATGCACCAATTATGCAGATACAAGTAATACATTTCTGTAGGTATAGGATTAAAAATCAATTTGTTTTATTTAATTGTGTTAATGTACGTTTCGAAAAAATACTGATCGATGTGATATTTTTTTTGCCAGATTATTTGCTTTGATATTTAAAACAACTCTTCTAGTATTTCTTTTTAGATAAATCAGATTTGTTATAAATGTCTGTATCTTTTATCTTTTCTTTTTTTTTTTTTGGTTTAAAAAGATTTTCAGTATTTCGAAATTTGTAGAAAATTCATATCAGTTTTTAGATTAGGATTCGCTAAATAATTTCGAATAAGTAAACGTCATAGATAAATATAAGAAAAGGTAAATTAAAACGATTGAAAATTTGAGAACAATTCCGTTATCGAATAAAGATGAATTTTTTTTTTTTTTGGTTTAAAATAATTTTCAGTATTTCGAAAAAATAAACGTCATAAATAAACATAAGATAAGATAATTTGAAACGATTGAAAATTTAAGAATACAATTCCGTTATCGAATAAAAAGATGAACATTTATAATTGAAATAATAACTTTAAATGATCTACCATATATAACATTTATTGTTTTTGTATTTTCTTGCATAAAGTAAGCTGATACCGTGTTGACAGGAAAAATCTTAGATACTTTGTATACATACAATTGTACATCGTATTATCTCAATCAATTTTTGTTTTTCTACTCACAAAATACATACTTATAATAAATCCCTCTTGATTCTTATCGATTATTAATTCGTGCATACTATTTTTGCAAAATTACGAATGCGATAAACGATCGAAGTTATTGTCCTATCTTTTTTTCTTTTCTTCATCTTCATCTTCTTCTTCTTCTTATTTTTCTTTTTTGTCTATTTATTTTTATCATCACTTTTTTGTTTCCTAAACGCTCGCTAAACGATGAACTAGCTTTTCGGTAACTGCGTTTTTTTTTTTTTTTTGTCCTTTTTCTAATTTTAATATTTAAAATATTTACAATATACGAATTTATATATGTATGACGTATTATTCTAATAAACGATTTTAATGGGTTCTTAAAGTAACATGAGTTAAACTTATAATATCAAAAATGAACGAAAAACTTGATCGTTTATCACACTCGTGTATTATATTCATGATTTTACGTATGATTATAATGCGCGTATGAAAAAAGAGAGTGCGTATAGAGGGTTTTAATTGTTAATTATACATGACGTATTTAGTAACATTATTTCATACGTCGCGATCATATTCTTTGTTTATTTATTTCCTTTTTTTTTCTTTTTTTTTTTTTTCTTTGATTGGCCACCAAATGAAATTTTATTTATTGCTAACATTTTTGAATAATTCTTGTTGGTACGTTAACTTATTTTTTATAATTCAATATCTTATTCTCCAAATGATGTTGATGTTTTAAACGATTTTTATAAAATAGTGCGGCTCGGCAGTGTTTAATGTTGATGATGACGTTTAATAGGTCGATCTTTTCAGTATACTAATAATGTGTTCAAAATAATTTTTTGTTCAAGTAATAAACCTAACAAAACGTACCCGACTACGCGATAAAATTAAACCTAATTTTTCTCCTCGAGTAAAAGAAAAGCGAAACATTTTTTTCTTCCTCCATGTTCTTCTTTAAATATATAATTTGATAAATTTATGCTAATTCATGCTAACGTTATTTTCGAAGATAAACTTGAGCTTATTAAATAGGGCTTCTGTTTTTCTTTCTATTTTTTTTTTTTTTTTTTTTTTAAACGATGAAAAATTATCTACGAACCAATAAACGAAAGGAAAAAGACGAAAAAGGATGATTATTGAGATATGTGTGTGATAACGATTTTCCACTGTTGCCTCGAAATCAATTTCTTTTGTTTTTTTAATTAAGCTTTCAATGTGTTATACATANTTAAATATATAATTTGATAAATTTATGCTAATTCATGCTAACGTTATTTTCGAAGATAAACTTGAGCTTATTAAATAGGGCTTCTGTTTTTCTTTTTTTTTTTTTTTTTTTTTTTTTTTTTTTTTTTTTTTTACCAAATACCGAGTAAATAATTAGAAGCACCAATGGAAGCCAAATGTTAAATTATTGAGATATGTGTGTGATAACGATTTTCCACTGTTGCCTCGAAATCAATTTCTTTTGTTTTTTTAATTAAGCTTTCAATGTGTTATACATATATATATATTTATTTTTGTTCCTTTTCTTTTCATTTCTTCTTTCATTTTTTTTTTATATTTTAAATTTCGTTCTCTTTGTTCTCGACTGACTTGGATTTGTTTTTCGAATCATTCTCGACGTGTTGTGTATTTAATGAAATTTTTTTTATTCAACTGGTCAAAGTTTTTGTACCTTATATTGCACGTATTTATTGGTATCTCTAATGATTCTTCCCCCGGCAGTAGAAAAATGAATAAAAGTTATTAATTTGAAGTAATGTTACAAATCAATTATGCTTCTTATTGCAATATATATTATATATGTGTATGTCTGTATGTTTATGTATGTATGTATATATTTAATATATACGAAATTGATTTACGTTAATCGAATAATTTTTCTTACGTACACAAATCGAATATATCGCGTGTGTCCTACAATTATTATAAGAAACATTAGAATCTCATCGTATATCGCACACAACTTATGGATTTACTTACTCGAAGATAAAAGTATAAAAAAATCATTAGTCTCAGACTCTTTTCTTGAAAATGTCGCCGGGCTTTTGGCGTTGATTCATTTCTTTCAAAAAATTCTTTCCGTCTGGTCGATTGTCCGTATTTATGGAAGTCATTCGTGAAAAGGATGTTCATCCTTTCGTGAATAAATGTATGTGTCTCGTACACCTTCAGAACTTATTCATACAACATTTTGTTTTTTTTTTTTTCACATGCGAGTTTCAGTTAAATGAATATTCTAATCTTAATCATATTAAATCGTTATGTGTCACGCGATATTTATATTATTTATATTCTACATAATTGTATGTATATATATATATATATATATGTACAATACTGTGAATAATGTTTCAATTATAGGTTAATAGGAATAATCAAATATGAAAGATATTATATTAAATTATGAATGAAAAAGAATGATAAAATTAATAATGTGTCGTTAATTAAAAATGTATATAATAATAAATAATTATTAAATTAAATTATTTTTAATAAACTACATTTTTTGTTAGTTCAATTTAATCAAACTAAATTTAATTTGAGATGAACAAATTAATCTTAAGTTTATATTCTTTTATAGTAAGAAAAAAGAACAAACAATACTTTTAGGATAAAATATATTTTTTTCGTACTTTCAAAAAAGAAAATTTGTTATTATGTATCTTCAATTTTAAAAGCATATAAAGAAATGTTTATTTATATTTTAATATTACGAATAAATTTCTAAAAATTGTATTTAATTTCAAATTATTCACTATACTGTATATATACATACATATATTTATATATACGTATAAATATTTAAGAAGAAAAACAATAACTCACACGTGAAAATAGATGATAATTCAAATAGAAAATTTCAGAATGTATTTGTCTGTAATATTTTAATTAAAGGAAAAAATATAAAATGATAGAGAGTCACAGGGAACACAAATGTTCTGAAGGTGTGTATTTTTTTTTTTCTTTTTTTTTATTCCAGATTATCCAATAACCATTAAGCTTTCTTTTCCATTTAAGGCGCGATAGGGTCTTTGGAAGACCAGGAAGGAGTTTTTTCATAAAGGAACAAACTCTCGGTTATTTTTGTCTTCTTCTTCTTTTTCTTCTTTTTCTTCTTTACGTTTGCACTTTTTAAAAGGATTTGTAAAAGCGCAAAACGTGTCGAATTTTCGACGATCTTATAAATTCCAGATATCTCGATGTCAACGCACGAAATGAAGAAGAAGATCAGGATGCTCCATACGTACAGGCCGAATTATCTGGTGGACTAATTTTATCCACAGGTAAAACAGCCGCTCTGTGCCATTCATCGCGTACCTGAAGATAAAAGAAGATTATTGTAATTAAATTTAATCATTAAACGAAACGATTCATTATTATTCTCAATGATTTCTCAAACATTTTATCATTACATTTTAAATGTAACTCTTTGTACGAAACAATAATTGACAAGTGTTCTAATTTATTTAATTATTTTGTGAATTTTTTATTTAAAATTGTATAGTTAGATATTTTTTATATAAATATACGTATAATAATAATTATTGATCAAATGCACGAGCAAATTTAGAAGATTATATTTTATTTAAAATAAAATTAAAAAATTGTATCTATTTTTAATTCGAAATATTAGTCAAATTAGTTATTAAAAAACGTATGACTATATAATAATATTTAATGATAAAGTATTAAAAATGATTATATCTCGTAGAGTTATAAAATTAAACAAATCAATATATATAAATGTGTCCATAATTATGAAAGTAGTCTAAGTCATATATTTCTTGTTTCGAGATATTTAAAGAATTACATTTGAACACTAAAAATGAATCCTATATAATATTAAAATAACAAACACTATCTTATGGTTCATTTTTTATAATATATCGTGAAAATTACATTGAATTAATTTCATTTAAAATAATATGATTTGAAATAATTGATAAATTCATTTTGTTTTTTTAATTTTGACTTACAATTAGACTAATTTTTCATAATCATGGTCACAAATGTGTATTTATGGAATATAAGATTTATTGATAAAGTATTAAACGATCATATTTTTTTTTCATTTGAATGATGCAAATCGATATATAAAATGAAGGTGTGATAAAATACGTGTGATAATATCTATTGATAAAGTGGAGTTGAAAAGGAGGTCAAAGGTTATTTCTTGAAGACAATCACTTGCCAATACCTGTTCAACTTTAGCGAATACCCTTAGTAAATTGAGGCCAGCTAATTTTTTGATGTCTTCTTCGGTCCACGTTGGATCCTCTAAGAGTGTTGCCAGTAATTGAGGGTATCTTGATACATCTTCCAGGCCAATGGGAGTGCTAATGGTAGAATCATTTTTCTTTCAATATCTTGTTTGCATAAATATCGAGAAAACATTTTTAAATTGGTATTTTAAAAAGAAAATAAAATAAAACAAAAATAAAAAAAAAATTACTAAAATACTTTAGAGCAATATTTTCTAATTTTTATTGTTTCAACACACTCTCTCTTACTTATATATTAAAAACATGTTTTTAAATATATAAAATATATTAATTACAAATTAATTCCATCGAAGCCAGCTCCTATTCCAACGTGATCGATCCCTGCCACCTTTCGTATGTGATTAATGTGTGCTAAAATGGCGCAGTAGGTTAAACAAACTGTTGAAATCGTTGATAATTAATTTATTCATACGTCAGATTAAATATTTACGATTTCGTTCATTATTACGAAATAAATTTGTTTGTATTATAAAAATTAGGATGAAAATCAAACATAGTATTATACTTTACGATAAAAGCGAAAAGAAAAAATAATTAAAAAAAAAGGAAAGAGGGGTGTATGGAGGGGGGGGGGGGGGGGAAAAAGAAATAATTACAAAATACAAAATTTATTTGTTTTTGAAAAGTTCAACATATAATATCGCATAAATACGATTTTATGGATTAAAAATGTTAACGGAATTTCGTAAAATTATAAATAAATCAACAAGATTGCTCATTAAATGGATTTATTCGTGCAATATTGATATGATAATATTTGCAACAGAAACATCATGGTTTATTTTAGACATAGAATAATGTTTTTACGTACCAATAACATCCTTAATGGTGGCGGTGTTGTTGCACGTTATGAAATACGTATAAAATGGAACCATCGCCACTCCACCATTTTTTGCCTATGGGAAGTAGATACGTTTATGTTTAAGCAAATATGTATGTATTACTTGGTTCGGTTGATGATTTTACTTCAGGTATAATATTTAAGTATGATACCAACAGTTTAATATAATTTCTAACGATGAATTTTTGAAATATAGATACACGCATGCATAAATAAAATCCCGTGAATAATTATAAACATAATTAAACTTTTATAAATTTGATATATAATATATTAACCCTTCTTTGCATGATGATGGAAATTTCAATCATAATATTTAGTCAASAAAAAAAGGTACTCAAAAACCTTGTACTGTATATTTGTTGTTGCTGGCAACTTTTTAAGCGACTATTGCGTACAACAAAACGCAGTTGTCAAAAAATAGTACTAGGATTTTTTTAAATATTTTTCCTTTAATCTAGAGCATTAATTATATCACCCTAATTTATTTAAAAAAAAAAAGAAAAAATCATGCGAAGAAGGGTTAAAATATAAAAATAAAGAAAAATATATTTACATACATATAAATTCATATTATAATGTAAACTAATTCTGTATTATTTGGTATATAACGAATAACCGATATTAATTGTTTAATAAATCGTGAAATATAACACTCTTTAATATTTATTTTAATGTAATTTTACACCCGATGTCAATAATTCAAAAGCACAAAATCGAGATCAACGTTTTGCAAACATACTAACTCTATAAATATTCATCACTTTAATAGTCTTGTTATGTAACATTTTGTAAATAAATTGTACCGGCAAATGACAAGAAAAAAAACTGTTTAAATGCAAGAGTTTTTACTATCTCATGATAAACATATTGAAGCATCATTAGTAGTTTCTTAAAAATGTCGAAGAAATAATAGAGAATATATAATATATATTCGTTTTTTTTTATCATTTTTCATAGCTCACAATATAAATATATTTTAATAAAATTGTAAATAAATTTTTTCTCCGTTTATAAAAAAGAAAAAACCTTTTTTTTCAGAGTGTCTTTAAAAAGTTGTTGCATAAATTTTTGTTAAATAAATTTGTGAACATATTATGTGATAATTCATATCACGAAATAAAAGAATCAAAAAAGTGTATATTATATTCATTTTTTATTAAATAAATCAATAGAAATTATTTCTTTTTTTGTTGTATTTTTTTGTTGTACTTTTCGTCGAAGCAATTTTCTGTGAGAAATGAATTGTATATACATATATATATATACATACGCGAGCGGTTCCTATGTATGTAAATATAAAATTGAATTTGCAAGAAAAATACAATTTTCATAATATCATAAATTTGCTTACTAGATTTCTGAGTACGTCGTCCGGTACATTTCTACTGGAATTACAGAGTGCCCTTGCAGCACTGTGAGAGAAAATCACTGGTGCCCTAGTCGTTTGCAGTGCTGCTCTCATCGTCCTTGTGGAAACATGAGAGAGATCCACCAGCATGCCCAACCTATTCAATTCCCTTACCACCGCCTGAAATGTGAAAAATATTTATGTCGCGACTCCTCGACATCTAGTAACATCGTGTTTCTGTGATATATGAAAAAAAAGACAGAAAGATAGAAAAAAAAGAAAAAAAAAAATAAAAAAAAAAAATACATACATATATGATGTTTAACGCAAATGCATAAAAATTTTCGGAAGAGGAGGAGTAGTATATGAAAGAAAGACAGAAAGAAAAAAAAAAAAAAAAAAAAAAAAAGATAGAGA